TCCTCTTTCCCCATAAAATAGAACACAGATGTGTTATACATACTGACATGTCACTTATCTCCCCACAATTTAATTATGCAACTGTCAAGTTCACAAAGGAAATCACAAGGGATTTTCAAGACTGTCATTAACAACAGAAATATCAGGCCAGATCACAGCAGAGATCCAAGAAAGTTTAGCAAGCCTGCTAAGTAGGAAACCTGAAACTCTAACCCTAATTCAAAGAGGACACAGGCAAGTCCAATGCAAAGAGGTGAACCAGCTCCTCAGTTCTGCAAACAAGGAGATGCAAAGGCAAATAATTTGACCAGATGTACCAGGTCATCTTTGGCTAGTCCATCAGCCAGTGTTGCTCACAGAGGACTCATTATAGCATGGCCCAGGGCAGCTGTGGAAAAAGGGAAAGAGAATCCAGATGAAAGAAGCACAGTATCTAGGATGTATCAGTCTCTCATTTGTAATAAAGTAAGGGGAAGGTACCATTGAGCACCAGGGAGAGAACAGCAGCTGTCAACAGAAAAACCTTCTCCGTATGTTAATTGTTGGGTTTTCTTTGTTTTCAACCAGATGCCCAAATCTTAAGACATTAGTATGTAATTAAAATCTTGTGTTAAATGAAGCTCACGTTCACAATATTCATATGTTACTGTATTAATAGAAATAGTATTGGTGCATTCACTTAAGAGTTGGACTTGATGATCCTTGTGAGTCCTTTCCAACTCAGAATATTCTGTGATTCTGTGTATTGGCATTTCTAGGGCCAAACATTTTAGTCTAAAATTCAATCTCAGTAACAAGCAACACTGCCTCCCTTTGCTGAGGGAAGAAAATACCCTGGGCCAAATATGTAGTCTTTTAGTACAACCTCTTCTGAAATCATAGGCAGTGCTGTCCAAGTGGAGTCTCAGCCTTTGGGGAAATGCTGCTAAGCCTGGAGAGAGTGTTTCACAGATGGACAGACCATCTCTGAGTAGGCAGTTGAAGACTGGCCTGAATCACAGTCTAATAACTTTTTGGCTGCCTCTGGGAAATGAATATGACATCTAAGCTCGGGATGTAGGTCCCTTCACAACAGCTATAATGGTTCTAGAAGGATTTGTCAAGGGACAACTCCCGGCAGTGTAAGCAAACCTTCATATCACAGGTGGGGCATTTTGCTCACAGTCATATTTCTTTTCTGATTCTTACAGAGGATTTCTGTTTTCAGCAATGCCTATACAGCACTACCTGAGACACCTTGACTCATTAAAAAATTAAATAGGATAAAACGTAAGTGTCAAAAAAAAATTGAAAATGGTTCAATGACCTTCTGTGGGGCTTCAATTGCTTGTGTTGTTATGCTCCCTACTTACTGCATTTTACAAAATCTGAAATTTTATATGTTTTGCCCTCTTGTATCTTTGCTTTTAAAACATGACACATTCTCTTAAAAAAAAAAAAATCCAAAAAGGAAAATGGGACACTTTTTTGTATTAAAAATTAAAAAAAAAAAAACCAAACCCAAGCTACAGCAAACATACAGATAGATATAAAGTAAATATGTTCATATTTGAATTTTGTACTTCAAGCCACCTTTGATCAACTTGATTAGTAATCTTTTCAAAAAGATTTTATAGCTGGTGTAGTTCAAGAACACAATTAAAGTAGATTAATCTGTTCTGCATTATGTGTTTCATAAAATTACCGTTCCTCTGATTAATTTTGCTAACAAACACATGTAACTATCTACAAATCCATTTTTCTCATTGATAAAACAAGCTTGTGACACAGCTTCCAGTACTGGCCAAGCAACAGCATTGTGAATATCTAATAAATCAGCAAGCCCGATGATGCAATGTCATGTGAGCTAATACACAAACTACTACACTTTTTATTTATGGAAAAGAAAAAATAGCCCAATCCTCAGCTTATAGCACCGACTCAGCTGCAATGGAAATCTACAGGTATCAGTATCTGTGAAATAATGCCACCAGCTAGTCAAAGCGACTGTAGCTGATCCATAAACCTTTCTCTACTGAAATCAGTAACAAAGTCTTATTCAAATTCAACAGTATGGTTTTGCATGGCTGAATTTCAGAGACACTGTAATAAACAGGACCCATCTGATTCCTGATCTGCGAGAGAGACTCACTTTGACCTTACCATGACTGCCATGAGCAGGCTGATGTCACTTCACCCCATAAATCCCCTCGCCTGGCGCTGTAGCTAAGCACTGCTGAACTCAGGTACCCTCTAGAAACACTGCGATGTTGTAATTAGCAGTGAGACTTCCAATGCATTCCCCAGCCAGATACAACAGTTGCTGTGGCCACTAGAGTAAAAGAATGTGAAAAGGGATTGGGGAAGAATGAAAAAGACAGGTAACGGCAGAGAAAACACAGTAAAAACTTATCTGTCTCATATTAAAAGAACGCAATAATCACCAGGAATCAGCTGAACTGTCAGATAAGTATTACAAGAAACAGTAGGTTTTTTAAAAGAAAAAAATTTCCATTAAATTGATTATTTCAGTGGAGAGGAGCAATGATACACAGAAGATATCTCTGAAACAAGCTTTTGCTTCTTGACGTCTAAATTACATTAGGGTTAGTTTTGTCTTTTTCTGAGAAATTATGTATTTAAGATTCTGTTCACAGTGTAACAGTAATCTAAACCCTTCCTTTATTTTTTGGCAAAAGCTGTGCATCACTCACGTTCAGCTGTTAACTGTGAACTGTTCACGTCTTAGTGTTGTTTCAATGTTCCTATGGCAAGGCTAAACAGCATTTCCCCAGGCCTGCACTGTAGTTTCTGAAGCACAGATTAAGCACAGTATTCTGCCCAACAAGCTCATCACTGTTAAGTAACTCATCAGAAAATAAAGAGGGAATTATCAAATGGGAATTGCCAAGTAATTAGTTCTCTGAAGCAGATGACATACAACTGTTAAAGGGAGGGGCTTCCCTGTTAGTCATATGTCAGAGTAGAGCCTACTAATCTGTAAATAAAAATGCAGTACATATGATTAGTGCCAAGGGGTTTCTAACAGCTAGTGGTACATGGAGAATAAAGTTACAACTTCTTGTACTGTAATAACCTACTAGGATTTTTTTTTCTCTTGTATACAGTGAATTTTCAAACCATTCTGGATCCGCTTGTTGTCAGACTACCTTGGAAAAGCTATGAATACAGCACAGTATCAAGTAGGGAATGTGCTCAGGGGCTATGGAAAAGGAGAAATGCCTTTACTATCATATACATTTGAAAATATCACTTTCTATTCAACTACTACACATGGCACTGAAAAGGAACTGCACAAATAAGAAAATATTCACAAGTACAAAATATCTGAGCACAGTAAGGGATTAAGCCTGTTAAGACTTTCTTTTAAGTAGCTGGCCTCACAGAAATGTTAAACATACAAAACTGCAATGGCCTTCATGCCTTTGGGTATCTGACAAACAAAAATATGGTAACAGTCACAATCACACTCCAATATGAGTGAGAAACACTTTAACATTTGTACTTTTTTACAGTGCAAGGAGTGACACAAAAAGTCCTAAAGTCAGGTTTACAGCTAGTTCTAAATAAGTAATTGATAAGAAAATAAAGAAGCAATTATCAAATTTAGGGTTTGCCTCTATCACTCTCTCACTATGAGAAACCCCTTAGTCAACACATTTAAATCCAGATGCTGCCACCCGGGCTAACTTTTCACCAAAACTACACCCCCTGGTACGGAAGGCTAACTTTCACCCAAAACCATACCCAAAACCATGCCCAGGAGGAGGGCACACACACAGGCTCAGGCGTATACACAACTTCATGCCACATCTGGTCACCTCACCACTTTTTGGCCCCCAGGACACAGAAGCTCTCCAACTCTCTCATACTTACACTAACACCCAAAAGCCTACACTTTTTAAGTAATGCTAACAAGTTGCAGAGCATGGGACAGCAAGTTTCTTATTCCATTTGATACACCTTCTTAAAACACCAAGGTAGAAGGTGAATCAAACCTCAGATCGTGGCTTGTATCACATTATGAACATGTGTCTTGTATTTTTATGTAGACAGACCACTACACACAACTGCATTTACATTTCGGACTGTGTATGAAACTTTCTATCAGTCAGACACCAGACCTTCAGTATCTGTTGAAGGAACAACAGAGCAAAAACATGAAAGGTTACAGCTGAGGTGAGGAGACCACAAAGCCTCACATCTAAGACAATGCATTTCATTTAATTTACCTTTGAGTTACCCACGCGCAAGACAAACAATTAAAAAAAATAAAATTATTTCTAATTACTATCCTATTATACCTAGTTCACAGCTCCATTTCACCCGTGCTCTTAACATACTAAAAATCTCCACTGCCTATCTTCTTTTAACCCTACAGCTACTGTAGACCTTCATAAACAGCATGAGAGGGAAGAAATAAAACCAGCTATGATAAAAGGACACTGATATGATAACCAAAAAGCTACCACTGCACACAGTAATATAGAGACAGATTGGCTCTTTTTGTGGTCACTGTTAATTATTTTAAAAGGGCAGATTGTTGTCTGTTTACAGGGAGCAGTAGCCAGAAGCCTGCATAAAACAGAAATTATGTCTTATGTACAAAATAAGCTACAATAGATAGTGTACAGACATACTTATTGAAAATTCTGCCCCAAAAAATTCTTTACAAATGGGCTGCAGCTGTAAATTCAACCCAGCACTATAATATGATTAATAAATATCAAGTGACTTGACAGTGGAAAAGATTAAAAAGAACTCTTTAATTGTTAAAATGTCCAGTGTATCGTGCAAAATCCACTCAAGACAACTGTTTAAAAGAAAGCATTGAGTCATTTGCCTACGTGGAAGGAGGCAGTGCATACTGTGAACAAATAACAATAGAGAGAATAACAAAACAAATAACAGTAGAGAAGGCTAAAATTAACAAAAAAAAAAAAAAAAGCAAAGCTGTATTTATTTATTTTTATTTCATTTTATTTTTACTAAACCCCATTTTCTTATCCAGGCAAGATGCTTAGCAGGCTCTGGAAAAAATGCTGCTGCTTGATTTGGAAGGGTAAGCACACTGGAGCTCACACACGGCAGCGACATTACTCCCTGAAGCCACACAAATCCTCAGGTGAGTAAAGCCATCAACGCACACGTAGAGATATTAGGTCTCAAGAACAGTTTCTGAGATCTCATTTTTGGATGTGTTCAAACGCATCCAACGTTCAGTCTCTCTGACAGACACCATGGTAATAACTCAGGTCTGCCTAAAACAAGAGCAGAGCCGTCACTACCTTCACCCCGAAATAAATGCAAAAGCCACAAAGACAACGGGCCTGACTATGAGATATTCTGTCTTAAGCTGTGAATCTTATCTGTGGCTCCTCACTGCATGGTGCCAGGTCACGTTTGTTTCATGTGTTACTACTGTGAGCTCCTGCCTGTTTCTCCCAGTGAGAGAGAGAACATTTGTAAGCAGGCAGTGTCTATCTCAACAACTTTTATCTCATTTAGTTATACAGTGGGTCTGATTTTGATTGTTCCATAGAGAAGACGAGAACTAACTAATGAGGTCAACAGAAATACCCCAAATTCAGTGACTAAAAAGTCCAACAAGAAAAGAAGCTAAACTAAATCTAATCTAAGATCCCCAAATACAACACTATACTTCAAGCTGAGCTGGTACAGAAAAAACAGCGGTTTATAACTATATTCCTGTCGTGCCTCTGCACCAGACTTCACTGGGTTACATTTTTTATCCAAAATGTTTGCTTAACATCTAATATATTCTCTCTTCTGCAATTGCAGAAAATGCCAGATGCTAAAATATTCAAGGTGACTTAGCAATACATTGTGGGTAACACAATCTGATTATTCATAGGATTTGACCAATACATTATAAACTATTATTTTTTCTAATTAAGAAATACAAGCCTTTCCTTGAGTAATCACTTCTTCAAATAAATACATTTTCATACAACCCAAGCTAACCCTGAAAAAAAATGAAAAGCTTTGTGGAAATGATAATGTCTTACCAAAAAGCTTCCTTCTAACTCCCAAGTCAACAGCTAGTCACTACTATAGCTGCTACCAAGCCAGTTTTCTTCCAAAACAGAAAGAAGAAGTGTGTCAGTGCACAGGGCACCTTGTGTGGTTTTTCACTCTCAAGAAATTCTTATTGATCTGAAGAGATACAGTGGTTAAAATCTACCCTCACCATTCAAGATCATTTGTAAACCATTACAGGCATGTCTTTGCACATAAGTACTTGCTTAGGCAACTTCCCTTTAAAACACGGCACCCTTCCCCACAGCCACAATAAAATGTAAATTATGGGCTGCATACTTTGCTATGACATGCTGTATACATTAAAAAGTTATTCTGCAATGGAGACTTTCTGATCAGCCTCACATACATAAAATGCTATAGTAATTAAGTTTTCTGGTAGTAAATTAAAAAAAAAAACAACTTTGATCTTCTTCAAGTAATCACTATATTTAATTTTCTTTCATTTAAAGACACAAGCAATTTTATTATGACCCTTTATCTTTTTTTTTTTAAAGCATTAGCAGTATTGCCAATCCCAAGCACTTAAAAATCATAGAACAGGTCCAAAAATCCAGGCTGGCTTAATGACAATCAGATTAAAGAAATAAAATAAAAATTTATGTTCTTTTTATTGGCAGTATGATTGTTGAGTCTTGGGACTTGGTTTTTTAAAAGTATTCTCCACAACCACATGGGAAGAAGAGAGAGAGGAAAGGGTGAGTAGACTGATATATGTGCACTGTTATAACCTGTCTGACTACGATATTTCAGGGAACAAAATCAGAAGAATTTAAAAGATTCCTCAAACCAGAATAAAAGACACCTAGACACATCCATAGTGACTAGTCATCCTAGCAAGTATTCTTATGCCAGATAAAGTTTAATGCACAGGAGGAACTTGGGACAGTGGAAAAGGTAAGCAGGTGGCAAGCAACAGGAACCACTGAAAATGTTCATAAAAGTGCAGGAAGGATTTATATAATTTTACAGATGGTATTTTACAACAAAAATCAAAGTCTGTCAACTTTTCTGTTCATACTATCATCTTTTAGTAACCCAATATGCTCTGATCTGAGGTGAGCATAAAACCACTCATCTGGAACCCACTTGTCCTGTAAGTCACTGAACTGAGTCACTAGAGTTAATGGAATTTTTCTGAGTAGAGTTTCTCAAGGACCTCTACTGCCAGGCAAGGGAAATACAAATGTATCACGGGTAGGTAATCATACAGACAGCAGGAAGGTGTGCACGCTTCTTAAAGCCCAGAGCAGACAGTGTATACTTGTTATAGGAAAATAAAAGCATTGCATTCTCACCTTATTGGCAGTGCATAACTGTATGGTGAAGACAAAAATGAAGGTGGTCGCTGTCCTACAGGGTCAAGAATAAATTCACAGCTTGTATTGCTTGCCCATCTGGTTTGGCCCACGATGTGACTGTTGATCCAGGAGTTGAAGAGATGGAAACCAAAATAAGAAGAAACAAAAGCACAGTTAAGAGTCAAGCAATTTACAACATGCTAAGACATTCCAGTGAAGACTGAGAGAGGCTGCATTTGCTATTACTCAAGCACAAATAAACTATAGATTTAATCCTGCAGACAGAGCACATACAGTAGAGAGTAGAGCCCATTTATTCAAACTGAGTGCTCTTTTCCTAAATGTGATCTTAATGAGGTGAAGAATCATAAGCGAGTTGAGATGACTGCCTTCACTGCCAAGAGAACATATTTTATTTGAGAAGCAGCCGCATCCTGAAAACATACTGCTGCAACTACTACTATTAGGTGAAAAATAATCACCTTTTGGACCGTGACTTTATCTTGTACACTATTTTGTCATTAATGGTGGCATGCTAGAGTCGATGTGTACTACTGCAAAGTCCCAAATAATATAAACAAAGCAAAACTCTACCAATGTGATTTTTTTTTAAATTTCTGTAATTTTACTCAGTAAAATTATAAAGAGCCAGCACTGAATTTCTGCTGACATCACGTATTAAACAAAATACATTTGGGTTTTTCACTTGGAATCTCACCAAATGTTTTATCACTCTTGGTACAATAAAAGGATTTAGTGGGACCATTTCTCCCTCACTGAGAAGCATTTCTGTTGTTTCAGTTATGAGTATACTTACTAGTTCCTATTTATGGAAGGATTTACATGCATATTTAACTCTAGATAGGTTCTTCAATCAATTCTTATTCAGCAAAACCCTTACTGGGACATGTACTAAAGTAACTTTGCAGACTGGGACCAATGAACGCATAGAGATCAGCACATGTTGTACAACCACCTCAGACTACAGCTTTATGAGGAAAAAAAACCATGAAGAATTACATTCTCAATACATGCACTGAGATCAGAAAGGAATTATGATCATGAATCTAGTTTTTGTCTTTTTGCAAAAGTCAGGAGTCTACAAAGTTTCTTACATTTTAAAATATTAGTCATGCATCACCTCAGTCAAAACAGAGTAAAAATCTTAAACTTTCTTATATAAAGAATGTGAACCACTGAATAAAACTCCAAAATACAGTGCCTTCATCCAAATACCTATTTATTTATTTATCACACTTGCATAAAAGTAAAATGAAAGGATGAGGTCAGGATTTTCACTTTGCAAAGCTTAGGCTATTGAAGTCATCAGAATATAGCATGTCAGTTCTTCACAATGAAATATTTACCTGTACCAAGCCTGCCATACTTTTGTTTCTTGTGCTAATCATATTTTTATCTGTTAACGCAGAGTTGGTTACAGCAGTCTCAGAAGATAACTACAACTAAATCTGTTATCTGCACTCCCTGCATTGTACACACCGTACCCGTACGGTTCTCCAAAACAGGCAGATCATTCACAGCCTGCATGCTTATAGCTGAGGCTGTCACACAGCCTGACTTCTCTCAAGCAGCATCAGAGTGAGCTGCCTCACATGCTGGAGTAGGTTTGCAGCCAACCAGTGCTTTCAGACCACCTATGCAATTCTGACACGCATTTCCTTTACAGCCTGCCATACTTCTTTATTGCATTTCCCCTTCAATTAGTACACCAAAACAAAAGAAGTGCACTGTATGAACAATGACAATGATAATCCTGACTGCCACTTACTAAGATGTGCTGCTAAGTTTCAGCAAGGGGGAAATTAGGGCTTGATTTTGTTTTACTAGCTATGTTACTAAAACAATTATTTGTAAATTCTAACATTGAAATCCTTAGTTGATTTTCAGGTGACTGCATCCAAGTGTCTATTTTCTTAATTAATGGGAAACTAGGCCACTGGATCTATTATATAAAAAATGTTGTTAAGTGAAATTCCAGGCCTCTTGTAAATGTCTTTTAAAACAAGGCTATTTTTTTCTCAACTTTTCTAAATAAATTCAATCAGGCCAGAAAGGCAAAGAAGAAAAGTTGCACTGTTTATTTTCAAAAAGTCTTTTAACTATGTATACATGGCCTTTTTGAAAGCAATTACTTTCTAACACTCTTAGTCACACAGGTAATTTGTCTTACAATAAAATATGTATAAGCAGCATGCGGCACACAAAGGCTCACACTACAGGAGTCATCCTGCGCGCGACTATTCCACGTTCTCCAGCCAGTCCTCCTAACAAGCTCTTCTATTTCAAGCCACCTCCTCAGTATGGAGGCCCAAACAGAGGCGGACACATCGAGCAGAGGATATTCTCTCCTAACCAGAAGGGCAAGTTAGCTGAGGCACTGAAAAGCTGCACTTAGGGTGCAGAAAACTGCCCGCAAACGCCCTTTCCCCTTGTCCCGCTGAGAAGAAACACCTCTGTTCAGCAAGCAGGCTGCGACCTGCAAACTCATCACACCAAACCCAAGACCACCAGCTGCCTGTTACCACAAAGCTGAACCACCAACAGGCACTTCTCATTACCTCCTCCTTCAGCTCCAATGTTTTAGCACCAGAGAGATTAAAATATCTATTTTAGAGCTATTTCTAGATTGCTTTATGCTCCAGCCTGGTACTTACAACTGCTCAGGAGCTGTGGGTGCTGATGATTTCTCATCACTGAGACACGAAATCCTCCAGGCCAAGTTCAATATTAGTGTAAGTCCACACAAGATTAGTGACTGGAATAGGGGTGTTACCCACTTCTACAGACACTTAATGCAGCTTCTTAATCAGGCAAAAATCCTGTGTAAGCCCACAGTGCTTTTTGCCATGAAAAGTAATATAGAGAAAATAACAGTGATACGCACCAATCACTTTCTGAGCTTGGTTACTCTACTACATGCCTGGATTAAGTCCAATAAACGGAGTTATTCTAGATATACACCCATGTAAGTGGCTCACAATCCCGTCCCCTGGAGTCGCTCCAGATTTATGACATTAGAACACAGTGCCAAATTTGGTGCTTTTAAAAAAATTATACTTACATTTGTGGAAAAGTGGCTTAAAAGAGTGATGTTTAAACACTGAGAATGAAGACAAATATACATTGCTTGATGAAACATGTTTTTAAGAGCAGCATGCAGTTCGAAGCTAATTCTTTGCATATTCTTTCAAGGCATTATAAACTGCAGCAAAAAGTCTCCTGCTCTGTAGCTATAATATTTTGATGAGCACAAACACAAAAAAATTAAAATGAAAGAAATACTACTACTGGAAATGAAATGTTTGCTGAGGAGAAAATTGTTTTTAATAGCATATACTTAGGATTTTATCAACAGAAACTGCAGTCAGCTTTAATCTAGAACACAAAACCTTGCTAAGAACTATGACAAGGCTTAGCAAACCTAGAGTGACAACAGTGATATCAAGTATCACTGATTTTCATTTTACCAGGCAGAGGGTGTAAAGTACAGTACACGAGTGAAGAATAACAAACCTGTGGCCTAAAATGAGAATGCTGGAATGGGAACTGTTCCAAACAACATGACAGTCACCAAACAGTTAATCCAGACAAACAGGAGGGGGAAAAAAAAAAAAAAAAAAAAGGAAAACTCTGAAGAAACTTTTATGCAAGCTTTTATAAGCCAAAAGCTTTTTTACAAAGTACCCCACCTTCGTTAATTTGCTAGTAATACACACAAGTGGAGCTGACGATTTGGCTAACCTGCTAAGCGTGCCATGTACGGTCCCATCTGCCTGACACTACCGCAGGCAAAGAACACTCTTCCCAAGAAGTTCAGCCATTAGGAACCCACCACTGGCATCCTTCAATTTTCAGCAAGCCCGAAGCGGTGCCCACGGCACACACAGAGCTGGCGGTAGCCCTCTGGGTCGCCTGCCAGCCACACACACACACCTGGCTGGACGGTGAATACGGTGAATCCCGTCTGTTACCATGGCAGCCTGATCTAATTACATGACTGATCAGGGCTGGAGTAAGCACACTGAAAGCCTGCACCGCTGACATGTCGCTACATGATGAGAGAGACAGACAGACAGACAGCCGAACACGAAGGAAAACCTATCGACCTCTGCCTTATGTAAAAAGTGAGATTACAGCCACCCTTTCAAAATAACTGCTGTCTGTAAAATACCGGGCCGGTTTTATGAACAAATTAGGTGCAATAACGTACAATTACTACTATTATCTCACATCACAAAAATAACTACAGCATAATATTTTCACTGGCCATTCTCGATTTCCCTCTCCCCCATTCATAACCCTTGCTCCTTATGATAAAATTGCACCGTCTCCATCACCCAGAACAGAAATAGATTAACACGAAGCTGGGATTTTCCTTTAGGGGAAGGCTGCATTCGAAACTGAAATTAAAAGTCCTTGACTTCTCAGTGTGTCAGCACACTAACTCACTATTCCTGACCATATCCAACGCGTAAAGTAACCATTACTGCATGAAATACATAACCATGAGCGTTAAAGGTTAAAGTGTAAGCTGTGTTACAAAATATGAATTTCTTTACCATATGAAAGGGAAAAGGTCTCCAGCAAAGGTCATCTACCTGCACACCCCTGCCAATCTGTACACAGAAATCATTTGTAAAGAGGAAGGCTTTACAAACACGGATTTCTTTGTCTGGGCATAACAGGAATGCTTAAAATTTTTCCCCAATTCTATCTGAAGTTTGGGCTCACGGGGGAGAGATGCTGCTCGGAGGAGTGCCTATTACACAGCATACGGTAAACAAAATAAAAATAGCCTGTCGCTCTCGTTGTCTACACAGTGCATTATATAACGGGCTTCCGACTTGTTTTCTTTTCTATTATTACTCTTCAGTAATTCCTCCTCTTCAATAATATGTAAATCGCTCCCAATTCTGTCATTTTATTATTACCGCTATTACTATTACAGTAGGAGCTAACGCTTTTCCAGCACGCTTTAATTTAGACTTTAATATTCTCAGGAATCGCATTGACGGATTCAGCACCCACAACCGTACACGGGGTCATTTATTTGTTTTTCTGCCAGTAAATTAGGATGCTTTAGGAATAAAAAAAAAAATTAAAAAAAAAAAAAAAAAAAAAAAAGCCGAACCACCCCCAACCAACCCCAAACTCCCGCAACCGAACCACCCCCACCCGACCCAAGCAAACCCGGAGGTGGCGGGGCATCGGTGAGCGGCAGGAGGGCAGCGGCCGCCGCTGGCGGCGAGCTGAGCCCCGGGGCGGCGGCGGTGGGGGGAGCCCCGGCCCCGCTCCCCCTCGGGGCTCCGCCGGCCGGATCCCCTGGCCGCAGACGGGCAGCGGGGCGGCGGCCCTCCGGCGCTCCCCTTCCCCCATCCCTCCCGCCCCGTCCCTCCCGGCAGTACCGGGTGGCGTCTGCAGCCGGCCTGGGCCCTGAGTGAAGCGGAGCGGGGCTGCTGCCGGGCACATCCCAGCGCCAGCGCCGCCTCCTCCACCGCCTCCTCCTCGCTTCATTCACCCTCCGGCAGCCGCCCAGCCCCGTACTACATACGCCGTGCGGCGGCGGCGACCGGCCCTGCCGGCGACCGGCCCCGCGCTGCGCCCCGCCGGGTCCGCCCGGCGTACGCGCCCCGCACGGCCCCCCCGCACCGCGGTGACACACACACGCACACACATCCACGGCACCGCACCGGCACGGCACCCCCCGCACTCTCACACACGCGGCACCGCACCGCACCGCACGTACCGGCACCCTCCGCGCACACACACACACACACACGCACACACACACGCAAACACATACACACAAATACACGCACGGCACCGCACACACACACCGCACCGCAAGCCCCGCATACGGGCACCGGCACCGCACACATGCACCGCATCCCGCACGTATATATATATATATATATATATATGTATATATGTATATACACACACACACACTCACACGCACCGCACCACCCACCTCCCCCCCGCACACACAGTCTCACAGCGCAGTCTCACACACCCCGAGTCCGCCGCCGCACCGGGGGCAGCCGCGGCTCGCAAAATGTCCACCGTCCCCGCGGCCACCCACACCCCGCCCGGGCCGGGGGGAAGCGGGAGGGAGGGAGGGAGAGAGAGGGGGGGTGAGGAAGGGTGAGGAAGAAGGAAGGAGCCGGCGCGGGGGGGGGGCAGGGCTGTACGAGCGGCTCCCGCTACGGGGCCGCCCCGTCCCCCCGCTCCCTCCCGTGTCCCCGCATCCCCACTCCGCTTCCTCCGCGGCGCCCTCGGTCATTTCGCGGCCGCCCCCTCTCCCTCGCTCCCTCCCTCTCTCCCCAAGGCCGGGCCCGCGGCGGCAGCGCCTGCGGGCCAGGCCGGGGGCGGCCGCAGCGAGGCGGCTGCAGCCCCGCGGCAGGGTGGACACTGCGCTCCCCTTCTCCCCCCAACCCAGCCCCGTGTTTTTCCAGCTGGAAATCGACGGAGGTTTGCAGCCTAAACAAGGGAAGAAGCCGGGGGTAGGGGGTGGGGGAGGGAGGCAGAAAGCAGAGGAGGAAGAAAAAGCCACTTACTGTAAAGTGTCAGTGGAGGTGGGGTTGGCGGGGGTGGGGGGGTCAGAGAGAGACTCGCACACAAATGTCTTCCTAGCTGATCACGGGGGGTGGGTCTGCTTTTTTGTTTGTTTGGCTTTTTTTCTTCCCCCTGCAGTGACACAGGTCCGGGATGTCTCCACCACTGTAGTAGAAATGATGTCTGCGGTACAGCGCTCGCTCCCTCTCCTCTCTCCAGCATGTAAATGGGTAATAGAAGCCAAATATGGAGCAGTTGGCTGCCTCTGCAACAGCTCAAGGATCCTACTTCATGCAAAAGGCGGGGGGGGGGGGGGGGGGGAGAAGGGAGGAGGAGGTGGAGGAGGAGGAGGAGGAGGCAAGGCAACACTCTGGCAGGCGGCCAAGAGAGCCACACAGATTATTGCATACGCACGGCACCGCCGGGCCAAGGCGGCCTTAACCCTTTGCGGGGCCGCCGCACGCTGCCCGGGGTCGGGGAAGGGGGCTGGGGGCCTCGTCTCGACACTTACCTCCTCCTTCCCCTTGTAACACTTCAAAGGCCAGGCTGGCTCTCTACGGTGGGCTTAAACCCTGCGCACACCAGTGTTCCCGAGAAGTCCCCGCTCCTGTGGCAGGCTGCGTTGCGCGGATCTCAAATCACTTTGCAGGCGGAAAGAAATGAGATGGGGAGGGGAAAAAAAAAAAAAACACCACACCAAAAAAAAAAAACCAACCCCAAACCTATATTGTTTAAGGGGGAAGAAACAGGCAGCTAGCGACGTGTGCTGTCCTTCAGAAATGGCAGGGAATGCTGGTTTAAAGGATGCATGAAAATCGGTTGCTCAGTCAAGGCTGGTCTGTCTCTCTAAGGGAGGAAATAAAACTGTGCTGGAAGCCAGGGAATGCTCTGAAGCAGCCTCTGCGAGAGTCAGAAGAGGGTGATTTTATTTAAGATGCCATATTGCATTTCGCTGTGGAGAACTGTGAAGTGATTTAGAGCAAGAGCCTGCACCCACTCCCTTTTTCTGAATTAGTTTTATTTATCTGAATCCTTGGCATATGCTTGAGTTGCTTTGTAGAAAGTACCTTCCACTTCATTCAGACCAAAGAGGCTCTGACTCATACCGTCACTGAACTACAAGACAGGCAGGGCTGAACCACGCATGTTTGGGTACTGACTCCCTCTGGATTCCTCAGCACTGGTTTTATCAAAGATCTCTTCGCATCTCTCCCAGCTGTATGCAGACCACTGTGAGCCTCTCCCCCCCCCCCGCCCACTATGGCAACTTACACTCCAGCGCAGCTTGTTACTCTCTTACTTCTCTCAACACAGGTCTCTGCTCTGCAAGTGCCATAAACTGCAGTGATGGGCAAGTGATAAGCACAGATGCATAACAGAGACCAGAGAAAATATCCTCCTTCTGGACTGTCTCAGTCTGCTATTCAAGTGAAAAAAAAAAAAATCAACTTACTAAGGGAGGTACAACTTAGAAAAATAAAACAACTTATGGAAGCAATGATGCAGCCCAGAGTAAGCAAAGGACAGCAGGCTGCTATGCTTGCATGCAACCTGACAGTGGTACATAAGAAGCCAGTCACTGATTTGGCATCAGGAAAAGTAGTAGAGCACAGAGAAGGCCTCTCCCCACCCCAAGGACATTGCAAAAAGTGTTGTATAAATACCCAAGGCTGTTAAGCACCAGCTCCATGGAGCTGGATGTTGTGGGGTCACAGGCTTCAGAAAGGCCTGAGATGTGCACTCCATGTGACATGGCCATCCCGACCAGGTCATTTATTGCAGCTTGTATGAATTTGCCACAACAGTATGCTCCAAGCTGCCTGGTTTCTAGTGCAGGTATACCTCCTATGTGTCCATTATCTATTAGCATTAGTTTTTAGCATTAAATCTAGCATTAGAGTGTAGATGCAAAGTACCCTAGAACTCAACCTGCCATTGTGCAGATCAGCAAAGCAGTCCTTTCTATAAATGACTGTACTAGTCGCCATAATTGCTAAAGAACACAGTAATAACATTGTAAACTGCAGTGTTCTTGCTTTAGAGTTGATACTGTAATATAGAGTAGCTTTATGAAATGTAAGGATCTTTTACTACAGCACCTTCTGCATCTTTAGTTCAGGTTCACTATGAAAACCAACAGGATAATCTGCTCTAGGAGTGGTCTGGGGACAGAAGAAGCAACAGGCTAAGATGTCTGGACAAACGTGCCACTCAGCACTACAAGACAGTGAATCTACAGCAGCAAAGCAGACGGCAAAATTATATTCACCCAGCTAATGTAAGGTTCATTGATTTAATAAAAGGAACCAAGGGAGAGAGACAAAGACTGGAGATTACTGAAAATCAAGTGAAAGCCCTGGAGAAATTCAAACCTATCATCAAAGTTCAGTTCTGAGTACACGGCATTCTCCTGTCTGCCACCTTTTTTATTCCAGTAGTACAGAGTGTTACCTCAGGAGAAAGGAATCTTTCCTTCTCAAACGTTCACCTTGCCAAGAGGTGTGGCACACACAGAGAAAGAGAAGCCACATTCATGCTGAAGCAAGCTTTGGGCAACTTTCCCTTCTGCAGCAGGCTCATGTAAGAGGCTTGTGTGTTCCTCCTCTCTGTGGCCATGGTGTTTGCCTCAGGACCCTCATTTTTTGCCACACTCCAGGCTCTAGGCTTTTACATCTTTGTCTGTGTTTCTGCTTCAGAGTAGTAAAGAGATTCCCAAAATGTAGGTCCATTGTAAGTCAAAGCAATAGTTTTCCTGAGCCAGCAGGCAGCCTTAGCCCATTGGCTCTGGAAAGTGCCACAACCGCCACCAGCCACGTCAGGTGAATAAGCCATTCTCAGCTCCTTTTTGACTTGATATGTAACAGGTGAGGGATGAGGGTACTATGCCTCTGCAAACATTGACTGACCTATGGGACATAAAACTGTCATAAGACATCCTTGTGCCTCTGCATCTCCCCTGCTGAGGGCCTACACTGGGCCTCAATATATTCCCTTCACAAAGAATTCCACAAAATGTGGAGGTGCTGATGAAAGCAGTGAGTGGGACACAAGAACCCATGTCAACTTGAGCATTTTTATTTACTGCTGGTGATATGCTGAAACTGATATGACCCCCAGTGGAATACAGTATTGACCAAAAGATATTAAACAATTTTACATGCAAGATGCACACTGTCTAGAAGAAACTATGTTTCAATTGACTAGTTGTAGTGTGTCATCTACACTGCACACTTTATACCATTAATAGTACTTACGGAAAATGAAAGAATAAGAGGTTGGAATTATTTATTTGTTAAACATTCATATTCAGGGAAATCCAGGGATTGACAGTGTATTGAGCATGAAAAGTAATTTCACAATTATTGATCGTTACAGTCCAAGTCTCCAATCAGTCATAAAATGACATTGTTGGTCTCATTACAGCCTCTAGTGGACAGTAGTAATCCACTTCACAGACCTGTCATACCATTTGCTCAAATGACAAGCGTTATCAAGGCAGAGGTTACTCCAAGAGAGCATGAACATACAAGTCATTCTCATCTCCTAGCAAAGAGGATTTTTTGAATACAATCAAAGGTTTGATGTCATTGCTCATAAGGTGCCTTGCTTTACTCTTCAGGTATTAGCATTGGCTTGTAAATAAACAGGGGACTTCTGCTATTCATTTCAGCTTCTGACAGCTTTCATAAAAACTAAATTCATCTCAAATATTTTTATAACAGAAAATATTGGTTGCCATGTTTTTGGCTTAAGTAAGATGTTTTTATTCCAACTCAGAATCTGCCGACTGTCCAATTCACCTCCTATCTATTTATAGCCCTCTTGCATTCAGATAAGTTTTGCTAATGCAGTTATTTTCATTATTATTTCAGACATATGCAGCTGATTTAAGGTATTTTAACAGCTTTAAAAAATGAGAAACTATAATTTGGATTGCAGCTGGCTAATTAAGGTATGCTTTCCTCAGGAAAGTTAAAAATGTACACGATCTGAAGAATAATGTATTTGGACTGCGTTCTTTAAGTGCCACTTGTGTGAACATAATAAAATATGACTAACATCTTTATTTTTTGTGTATTCACTTAGAAATGAGTGTACCTCCTGTCAAAACAGAGATGTCGAGGATGTTCTCCAGAACGCTGTGATTGTTTTCAGATGCAAGGAAATTAGATTGGTAGACACAGAGAGCTACTGCTGTCTCTTTAAAGCCACAACTATCTCATGCAAATTAACATTTAGTGAAATGAGAGCAAAGCATTCGTGAAGACTAAGCAAGTATGTAGTACTACACTGTGACTCAAAGAGAAAAATCTTATGATCTAAAATGCTGTGGTCCTTTGCAAGTGAATTCAAAGGAAAGGCTGCCCTTAAATGCTTTATTTTACCACATTGTGGCTAGGTAGGGGTTGTAGGGTACTGAACAAATCATTATTTGTCATGCCTTAGAGTATAGGTAATGGGATATTTAGGTACAGAAATATTTACTTTATCATTGTCTTGATTTTTTAAAAGAAGCAATCAAGTTCCTATTCTAGTAACAATAGCTTCAATAGCTTTAAAATAACAATTGGTCCTTAGATGCAGATCTTTTGCTTTTTGTAAAACAGGCAAAGCAATTCATTGGGGAATTAAGAAAACTGAGGAATCCTCTGAAGTCTTAAAATCAAGTCTGATTTAGTCTTCTAAATAAGTTTTCAGTCAGTTACAGGTCTCTGATCTGGAAGGAAGAGCAGCTAACCTACCAGTGACCACCCCAGGATGGACCACAGCCACAGTCAACCCCATAAGCTGTTCCAACAGTGACCAGTGGGAAATAAAAGTGCTTGGCCCTTCTCTAGAGGTGCTTAACTGGTCTAGGCACCTCTCAAGTAATAACTAATATGGCCTGTCATGTGCTTTATGGCTGGTGGTCTGAGGTTTCCACTCATGTCCTGGTCTCCACATATCTCCCCTGCAGTTACCCCTATGGCTAGTGTGAGAAGAAGGACCAAACACGAATGGACACTAAACAGCTGTCTTATTCCTAGAAGTGATCACTTCATCTTGGGGTCAAAGTACACCAGCAGGGCACAGAAGGGAAGCTGTACTCTGTGGAAAATGCTTGGTTTCCAGGGATGTTAAGGCAGTGCTGTTAACGAGGATTAACATTCAACCAACGGTGCAGACCTCAGGAGAATTCACCAGCCACTTTCTGGGAGGGGGCCCTCAGATGCTAGCAGGGAGCAGACAGAGGCCACAAGTCCTTGTAAGAGACATGTGTTGTCCCTTTAAATCATACCTGGTACA